TACTATTTAGGTGTAAGTCATTACTAGACTTCTTATAAGAAATGCAGAGGGTAGTAAGTAGTTATTGAATGATGATGAGTAACTAAAAGTCTTGACCAAGATTTTGCTGGCAAATATCAAACTGTTTTTATGACTTATCAGGTTTTTATGGAAAAATTTATCAAGCAATATCCGGAAATAGAAATTTTAATGAAATATTTGTTTTAAAGGTTTTATCGAAGTTTTTGTAACCACCATCATGGGTCGAGATGGATGAAATGAAGCATATAAAATTCTTTTATATGCATTATCCTTCTCCTAAAGAAGATCCCCTTCTGAATATCACTTTAACGATCGTAATTAGCTTAAAATTGCCACTATAACAATGAAATTTGAAATAAGCAAGTTTTATATTAACTATAAATCATCCTACTTAATTTTATAAGGATCAGTCTATAATTGACCCTAACCCCTAATTAAGGGTCCCTTCAGAAAATTTCTTTAAAGTCCAAATCTAGTACAAATATGAAATTTGATATAAACAAGGTATATGTATATTAACTAAAATCTTCGTACAATCGGTCCATAATTGACCCTAACCCCTTCAGAAAATGTCTTTAACTCTCATAACTACCTTTACCAGCAAAAATTCGACCTAAATAAGTTTTATAGGAAATTTTATCTCTCTGGCAAATTTCATAAGATTCATAATATTCATAATATTGGATCCAAGCCCCTCTACTTTAGGACCATGTCAGAAAACGATTAAAATGCTCATAAATTGCTTAAAAGTCATGTATAGCGATGAAATTCGATATAATCAAGTTTTCTTTAAAATTATATGTGGATCGGTTCATGATTAACCCATACATACATAACACCTCTTTTACTTTATTATTATATTATTCGATAAAAAGGATTTCATTTAAACACTAATATCTTTAAATTCTTTAGCGATCAGTTCATAATCCAAACTCCCTAAAGGGCGTATTTCAAAAATCATATTCCTATTCATAACCGACTATTAAATTCAGTATTAAACTAATGAATTATTAAATCGTGTTAACATATGCTTTGTTAATTGGTCTAAACATAAGATTCGTTATACCCGAATATAACTGTTGCCTGTTTGAAAATAAAAAACTTCCTAAAACTCTTCTTCGCACTTTTTATGTATGTTTTGGCGATTTTATACTTCTTTAATTTAAGGAACAAAATCCCTGTACACAATTGGACAAATTGGCAACTCTCGTGTTAACCCAGCAAAAGTATTAAAATTAGATTAATTCAAGAAATTACTGAGAAAAAGAAAACTGAATTTCTTTCGCTATTAAATATTTGTGTTCATGTTTATATTTTATTAAAATGAAATGAATGTTTTGCTGGGTTAGCTACAAATTCAAAATATGTTTTTAATTTTTCTATGTCAATTTATTTTGTAGTTTGTTGCCAGTTGACATGTATTTAAAACACTACAATGACTATAGCAGCAGCAACAACAACAATCAAATCACTCACATAAACATTAGTTTCATAAAAACAACAACAACATAATCATAATAAAACATAACATAACATAATCATAATAAAATTATTACATAAACATAATAAATGAACTTGACAGTTTTCATCATAAGAAAATTTATTTTTAAAAGAGAAAATTATTGTAATGTTTTTCAAATCAGCTGATTTTGAAGACAATTTTAAATACCTTTCTTGTAATGTTGTTTACCTAATTTTTTTAAATACTTGTTCAATGTGATCATAAATGTTTGTCTCAATAAATGAAAATCAAAATAATATTTCTCATTTTACAATGGTTCAATTTACAAATAGTTGCTGCTGTTTGTAAAATTTAAAACTCACGTGAATTGCTTATTTAAATACAAATATTATTCGTTGATGTGTTTACTTTTTTTTAAATTTCTTTTGTAAAAATATTTATTGCATTTCTGCAGTTTGTTTCGTATGATTTTGCTTATTAAATGCTTTTTTTAATTGTAGCGTTTTTTCCTAATTGAGTGTGGGAAAATGTAAATGAATGCCCTACATTGAGCACTAAAAATAAGTCACGTTGAGTTTAAGCATAATTTTTTATTTAGTTTTCCTCAAATATTTGTTAGGTGTGAACGTACCGTAAGAGTGGCAAATACATCAATTACTGTTACAAATACATTGGTTACGGTCTGCTAAATTGTCAAAGAAATATAATCATTTATTTATTTAGTTTATGTTGATTTGTGGTCTTTGCTCTATGAGTAAGTAGTAAAAATAATTTGGCATGATTTCCTAGGCGCCTTTTTGTTTTCTTTTTTTAATTAAAAAGTTTTTATTTAGATTTAGTTTTAATTAAAAATAACAAATAAACAAAAATATAATACAATTATTTTTATTTTGTTATGTGCTTAACACTGTCAAGTATTTACATTTAAAATCTTTTCTGTAATATTATTTATTGTTTTCAAAATGAAGGTCTTAAGCTTAAGGTTCTAATGCTTCCCAGAGAAAAATAGGATTATAGCATTGGTTATGAATGGAAATGTGATAAGCCTATATCTATAAATTTGTTACCAGACATGGGGAACTCAGCACTTTAGTGCTTTTTGATATCGAAATATACCGCGGTACCCCACGACAGTTTCGGTACTTTTTATAACTTATAAACTCCTGATAAATAATCTAGTCTGTAGTCTAATCTATAATCTAGTCTGTAATCTAGTCTGTAGTCTAATCTATAATCTAGTCTATAATCTAGTCTGTAGTCTAGTCTGTAGTCTAATCTATAATGTAGTCTATAATCTAGTCTATACTCTAGTCTGTAGTCTAGTCTATAGTCTAGTCTATAGTCTAGTCTATAGTATAGTCTATAGTATAGTCTATAGTATAGTCTATAGTATAGTCTATAGTCTAGTCTAGTCTATAGTCTAGTCTATAGTCTAGTCTATAGTCTGGTCTATAGTCTAGTCTATAGTCTAGTCTATAGTCTAATCTATAGTCTAGTCTATATTCTAGTCTATAGTCTAGTCTATAGTCTAGTCTATAGTCTAGTCTATAGTCTAATCTATAGTCTAGTCTATAGTCTAGTCTATAGTCTAGTCTAGTCTATAGTCTAGTCTAGTCTAGTCTATAGTCTAGTCTCTAGTCTAGTCTATAGTCTAGTCTATAGTCTAGTCTATAGTCTAGTCTATAGTCTAGTCTATAGTCTAGTCTATAGTCTAGTCTATAGTCTAGTCTATAGTCTAGTCTATAGTCTAGTCTATAGTCTAGTCTATAGTCTAGTCTATAGTCTAGTCTATAGTCTAGTCTATAGTCTAGTCTATAGTCTAGTCTATAGTCTAGTCTAGTCTATAGTCTAGTCTATAGTCTAGTCTATAGTCTAGTCTATAGTCTAGTCTATAGTCTAGTCTATAGTCTAGTCTATAGTCTAGTCTATAGTCTAGTCTATAGTCTAGTCTATAGTCTAGTCTATAGTCTAGTCTATAGTCTAGTCTATAGTCTAGTCTATAGTCTAGTCTATAGTCTAGTCTATAGTCTAGTCTATAGTCTAGTCTATAGTCTAGTCTATAGTCTAGTCTATAGTCTAGTCTATAGTCTAGTCTATAGTCTAGTCTATAGTCTAGTCTATAGTCTAGTCTATAGTCTAGTCTATAGTCTAGTCTATAGTCTAGTCTAGTCTATAGTCTAGTCTATAGTCTAGTCTATAGTCTAGTCTATAGTCTAGTCTATAGTCTAGTCTATAGTCTAGTCTATAGTCTAGTCTATAGTCTAGTCTATAGTCTAGTCTATAGTCTAGTCTATAGTCTAGTCTATAGTCTAGTCTATAGTCTAGTCTATAGTCTAGTCTATAGTCTAGTCTATAGTCTAGTCTATAGTCTAGTCTATAGTCTAGTCTATAGTCTAGTCTATAGTCTAGTCTATAGTCTAGTCTATAGTCTAGTCTATAGTCTAGTCTATAGTCTAGTCTATAGTCTAGTCTATAGTCTAGTCTGTAGTCTAGTCTATAGTCTATTCTGTAGTCTAGTCTATAGTCTATTCTATAGTTTATTCTGTAGTCTAGTCTAAAGTCTATTCTATAGTCTATAGTCTAGTCTATATTCCAGTCTATAGTATATAATATAGACTACATTTTTTTTATAGTCTAGTCTATAGTGTAGTGGACTCCAGAAAAAGGCTGAAAAAATGTGAGTTGAGAGATGAAATTCGACAAATTTACCAAACTTTATCAGGATCGGTCCATTTATGACCCTATCCCTCATATAAGTTATTTTGATTTGAAGCAAAATTACGGTTTAAAGTATAAACAAAATTTTTTTAAACATTTTAATAATAAACATCAAATTTATCACTTTTCTAATTAAGAAATTATTAAAATTGTCATTAACAAAGGTGTGTTATTATTTTTAAAAGTTAGTATTGTCATAAATCAAGTAAATTTTTTTTTAAATTCATAAACGTGGCAAATTTAAGTTTTTGTACAAAAAATATGACTTTGTATCGGTTAATGACATGCAGTTCAGAAAAGAAAAAAAATCGCGACATAAAATTTAAATAGTTTTTGTTGATTCTGTCTTCAAATGTTTTTCAAAAACAAAAAATTCGCATGAGTATAATGAACCTTTTCGGTGTTTGTTTTTTTGCGTATTTTATTTAAAATTTTAAATAACATTTAAACAGCAACTAATGAAAAGATCATTAGACGTCCTTGTTATAGTTGAGGTTATTTTGTGTATGGATGAATGAACTTTTTTTCGTAGATAAAATGTATATAAAATTTTAAAAACTGTCATACATCAAGTTATTAATATGCATTTACTAATAGTTTTTTGTTTTGTGTTTAAAATTTTTAAATAAAATAGATTTATCTAATGTTTGTTTTTAATATTTAAATTTTTTGCTCTCCCCATAGTTTTGAGTATTTTATGAGTGAGCTTATTTCATTTACACTCGAAAGAAAATTTCATTGAAGCATATAAAAACAATTCATTATTTAAAACACAATTTTTTGGGTTTAGTTCTAATGATCATCTGCTGTTCGTGATCATTACTCTCATACAAGTGATGCCATACACACACGGTTTTCTTCGCGTCTTAATGTTAAACGCGCGCGCGCTTTTTGTTTCGTTTTAATAAAAGTATTAAATTAATAATAACACAATAATAATATTAAACAGAAATAAACCATTACAAAAAAAGGTGAAAAAATTCAATCAATTGTTTAAATTGTTTACTTTACTTAGCAAAAAAAAAATCATTAAATAAAGAAGAATAAAATATCCGATAAAAACTAAACCAGCCATACAATTTTTAAATATTTTTTTTATAAATAAATACCACAATTAATTTCAAGTGCATTTCAATTAACACCTTTTAAAAAACGAAATGGAAAAATAAGAAATTTTTTCTTAAATCTGTCGGTTTTTTTTTATAAATTTTATTTTAAGTGTTTGTGTGCTTTTGTACTTAAAGTTCAAAATATAAACACAAAAGTGGCTAAAAATAACAACAAATATTTTAATTAACACAAATTTTAAATTAAAAATAAACATAAACAAATATAAATTTATCAGAAGATACAAAATCAATTTGGAAAATTTTTGACTTGGAAACATTGTTCGTTAAACAAATTTTAAAGTATTAAAGAGTAAGAAAAATTGCCCTTAACTTAAAACTAAATAACTTAACTTTTCGCTTCTAACTTCATATTTAACATTTGTATAGTAAACAAAACATTGCACCGCATGAAAGAATCTAAGTGTACAAATAATTTAACAAAAAAAGTGTTCCTTTCTATTCACAAGATATTAACATTTTTGAGGCTTTCTAAATTAATATTTCCAACTTCACAAAACTAATTCCCGAATTCAAGCACTCCTTACTGAAGAAGGGCCTATGACTGAACTGAACTAGAAGTGATCTAGAACTTAACTAGAAGTGAACTAAAATTGAACTTGAACTAAAATAGAATTGAACTAGAACTGAAAGAGAACTGAACTAAAAGCGAACAATAACTGAATCAGAACTGAACTAGAACTGAACTAGAACTGAACTAGAACTGAACTAGAACTGAACTAGAACTGAAATAGAACTGAACTAGAACTGAACTAGAACTGAACTAGAACTGAACTAGAACTGAACTAGAACTGAACTAGAACTGAACTAGAACTGAACTAGAACTGAACTAGAACTGAACTAGAACTGAACTAGAACTGAACTACACCATTTCAAGTTTAATTTGAGAAAATCCAAAGTTATATTGTGAAACACCAAAATGAATTTTAGAAATCCAATTTAATATTGAGACATACCAAATTAAATTTAGGAATCAAAATTGATATGAAGAAAAAACAAATTGAAATTTGAATTTTCAACTTAATATTGAGAAAAAACCAATTGATATTGAGAAGTCGAAATTAATATTGAGATAATACGAATTGAAATTGACAAAATACAAAATGATATTAGGAAAACCTAATTTTGTATTGAAATTTATATTATTTTAAATCCATATCCTATTTAAACACTTTATAAGAAAAATATTTTCATACAAATTTTAAATTTCTCATTTTCATTTATTAATTTCTCAATTTCAATTTGTAATTTCTTAATATAATGTTGGGATTCTGAATTTCAATTTGTTTTTTCTCGATATGAATTTGCATTTCTTAATTTAATTTTATTATTTCTCAATATTAGTTTGGATTTCTCAATTTCAAATGGGGTTTTCTCAATATTAATTTATATTTCTGAACTTTAATTTGAATTTTTCTAAATTTTAACTTGAAATTCTCAATATGAGTTTGTATTTTCTCAATTTAAACTTGAAATGGTGTAGAACTGAACTAGAACTGAACTAGAACTGAACTAGAAACTGAACTAGAACTGAACTAGAACTGAACTAGAACTGAACTAGAACTGAACTAGAACTGAACTAGAACTGAACTAGAACTGAACTAGAACTGAACTAGAACTGAACTAGAACTGAACTAGAACTGAACTAGAACTGAACTAGAACTGAACTAGAACTGAACTGAACGACTAGAACTGAAACTAGAACTGAACTAGAACTGAACTAGAACTGAACTAGAACTGAAACTAGAACTGAACTAGAACTGAACTAGAACTGAACTAGAACTGAACTAGAGAACTGAACCTAGAACTGAACTAGAACTGAACTAGAACTGAACTAGAACTGAACTAGAACTGAACTAGAACTGAACTAGAACTGAACTAGAACTGAACTAGAACTGAACTAGAACTGAACTAGAACTGAACTAGAACTGAACTAGAACTGAACTAGAACTGAACTAGAACTGAACTAGAACTGAACTAGAACTGAACTAGAACTGAACTAGAACTGAACTAGAACTGAACTAGAACTGAACTAGAACTGAACTAGAACTGAACTAGAACTGAACTAGAACTGAACTAGAACTGAACTAGAACTGAACTAGAACTGAACTAGAACTGAACTAGAACTGAACTAGAACTGAACTAGAACTGAACTAGAACTGAACTAGAACTGAACTAGAACTGAACTAGAACTGAACTAGAACTGAACTAGAACTGAACTAGAACTGAACTAGAACTGAACTAGAACTGAACTAGAACTGAACTAGAACTGAACTAGAACTGAACTAGAACTGAACTAAAACTGAACAAGAAATGAACTAGAACTGAACTAAAACTGAACAAGAACTGAACTAGAACTGAACTAGAACTAACTAGAACTGAACTAGAACTGAACTAGAACTGAACTAGAACTGAACTAGAACTGAACTAGAACTGAACTAGAACTGAACTAGAACTGAACTAGAACTGAACTAGAACTGAACTAGAACTGAACTAGAACTGAACTAGAACTGAACTAGAACTGAACTAGAACTGAACTAGAACTGATCTAGAACTGAACTAGAACTGAACTAGAACTGAACTAGAACTGAACTAGAACTGAACTAGAACTGAACTAGAACTGAACTAGAACTGAACTAGAACTGAACTAGAACTGAACTAGAACTGAACTAGAACTGAACTAGAACTGAACTAGAACTGAACTAGAACTGAACTAGAACTGAACTAGAACTGAACTAGAACTGAACTAGAAACTGAACTAGAACTGAACTAGAACTGAACTAGAACTGAACTAGAACTGAACTAGAACTGAACTAGAACTGAACTAGAACTGAACTAGAACTGATCTAGATCTGAACTAGAACTGAACTAGAACTGAACTAGAACTGAACTAGAACTGAACTAGAACTGAACTAGAACTGAACTAGAACAGAACTAGAACAGAACTAGAACTGAACTAGAACTGAACTAGAACTGAGCTAGAACTGAACTAGAACTGAACTAGAACTGAACTAAAACTGAACTAGAACTGAACTAGAACTGAACTAGAACTGAACTAGAATTGAACTAGAACTGAACTAGAACTGAACTAGAACTGAACTAGAACTGAACTAGAGCTGAACTAGAACTGAACTAGAACTGAACTAGAACTGAACTAGAACTGAACTAGAACTGAACTAGAACTGAACTAGAACTGAACTGGAACTGAACTAGAACTGAACTAGAACTGAACTAGAACTGAACTAGAACTGAACTAGAACTGAACTAGAACTGAACTAGAACTAAACTAGATCTGAACTAGAACTGAGCTAGAACTGAACTAGAACTGAACTAAAACTGAACTAGAACTAGAACTAGAACTGAACTAGAATTGAACTAGAACTGAATTAGAACTAAACTGGAACTGAACTAGAATTGGAACAAAACTGGAACAATTTTATGACGAAATGGTGTATAATTTTTTGCTCCACTAAACTTCTAACTAAGTGTGACTAAAATTAATAAACAAAATTTCCAACTTTTTGCTTTATTCCACTCTTCATTATACACGCTTACTGCATGCAAAATCAGGAATATTTCGATCAGTAAATTTAATTAGCACAAGTGAAAAGCAGTGGTTCTCACATGAACCCTAACATACTACTTGGCCAAAACATCTGAAGTGAACGAATTAGACCCGCATTTAAGACCACGAACTAAAACAGAAGTACGTCAAATTAAGTAAATATAAGAATGATATGCAAATAAATTTAAAATACTCGAATTTTATATATTAAAATGCCATGAAATTTGTTTTATTATATTCATATCATGTGTTAAACGGCTGAAGGCAAATATTGATTAAATAAACTTTGGCATACATTTTTATTTTTAGAATTTTTATAACTGGTTTTGCTTTATGCAATACAATTTTAATAATTAATAGAAAATTAACACATTTTTCTGTTAAAATTTAAACAAAATTAGTTATTTTTGAAGGCGGGTCATATGACGTTCAAGTTTTAGACGAAGTTGTTATTAATAGAAAGGGAGACAAAAGCCTCAAATTCAAGAAAGGGGAATAAAATAAAGAACAATATAAATTTTATTTATCATTATTAATAAATATTTTTTAATAATTTTCTTATAATTTGAATTTATCTCTAATTTAACAATTACAGTATTCCGTCCTCTCTACGTTTTTGCACTTTCTCTTTCCTTTTATTTTCATTTTCAATCCATAAATAACTTTTTTCCTTATTTACAATTTGGGTTACCAGAACACATTAACCAAAAATAAATCACTGTCGTACCCGCTTTTGTCTGAGCATCCCGCTTAACAAATATTAATTTGTTTATACATCGACCGCAAAGCTACTTATTTTTATTATTGGTAGGATTGGTTCAAAATTATGGAAAATTTTAATTTTGTACAAAATAAACAATTTTATAAAAAAATTCATTCATTTAAATATGTTTATACATACAATTATATTTATTTGTTTTTATAACTAATGAAAAATAACAAAGAAGCCCAATTCCCATTTCAATGACTTAAAGACGTCACTTTGTCTCCGGGTTTAGCGATTTAAATGAAATGAACAGGAACGGAATGACTGAGTAAACGAATGGAAAAATTAAATAACAAAGTTAAATTTTTAAATTAAAGGGGTATTCATTTAATAGTGTTTATTTTGACTCGAAAATTCTAGAAAATATCTAATTTTAGAGAAGAAATTTTTTTTTTAATTTTTTGTCGATTTTTAAATTTTATAAATAAAACAAAAAACAAGTTTTGATATGAGAATCGAATCTTTTTGACTACTTCATACTTAGATAGTCTATAGTCTAGTCTATAGTCTAGTCTATAGTCTAGTCTATAGTCTTAGTCTATAGTCTAGTCTATAGTCTAGTCTATAGTCTAGTCTATAGTCTAGTCTATAGTCTAGTCTATAGTCTAGTCTATAGTCTAGTCTATAGTCTAGTCTATAGTCTAGTCTATAGTCTAGTCTATAGTCTAGTCTATAGTCTAGTCTATAGTCTAGTCTATAGTCTAGTCTATAGTCTAGTCTATAGTCTAGTCTATAGTCTAGTCTATAGTCTAGTCTATAGTCTAGTCTATAGTCTAGTCTATAGTCTAGTCTAGTCTATAGTCTAGTCTAGTCTAGTCTATAGTCTAGTCTATAGTCTAGTCTATAGTCTAGTCTATAGTCTAGTCTATAGTCTAGTCTATAGTCTAGTCTATAGTCTAGTCTATAGTCTAGTCTATAGTCTAGTCTATAGTCTAGTCTATAGTCTAGTCTATAGTCTAGT